ATTCAAACATGCAGGCAGCTGCTAAATGCCCACAGCTGGTAATCGAACTGTCACTCCACATGTCGCTCCTCTCTCCTCCTCCTCTGTCACACACTTTTCTCTCCTTCCATCCACCGTTCTCCTTTTCGCCACCCTGCCCTGTGGCCTGTATCACATCAAATCACTCCCCACTCCACTCCTTTCTCGCTGGGCTCCTGCCTACCAGCCAGGTGTGTGTCCACATGTGTGATGAAACATTCTTAGATTTCCGAGCTGCGCTGTTCTTGTTTGATATGTGGCTCACATTACACCAGGCATGCAGAGAAGAGAGGAAATCTGGCTCGAAGTTAAATGATTGATTGAGGCAGAGCACAAAGACAAGGTCTAAATCATTAGTGAAGCCATTATCTCTGACTGCAGCTCCGCGGTCGTACAAATCACTTATTAAGTCACTGCTATGCTCCTCACTGACAGTGTGAGCCACAGAGCCATGGAAAAACCTTCATAACTGCCTGGTTATTGTGCTGACGCAGTGCAGGACGTGACTTTAGGATCCAAGCATGCATTTCCTGTTTAATTTATGTCTCATCTGCAATGAGACTGTTGAGAAAAGATGGAGAACAAGGTCAAATCTCAGAGGTCAGAGAATGGATGCAAGTATGAGAGCGGAAATAAGAGAAGAAGAAGAAGAAGAAGAAGAAGAAGAAGAAGAAGAAGAAGAAGAAGAAGAAGCAAGAGGAGGGAGGGATTGTGGCATTTGGCTTGCACGGCACGTTTTTCCGATATTAAATGCTGAATAATGATTTGGCCTGTAAAGGAGGAAGGAAGACAGCAAGGTGAGAAGAAGGAGAGGGTAAGAGAAGTGAGAAATTAGATGGAAGCACACGCAGCAGATTGAACAAGAAAGGGGGCAAAAGGAGAGGAGAGGTGATGAAGAAGTAAGAAGGTGGGCCAGAGACTGACAAAGTTGGAACAGCAGATGAAAGATGATAGATGGAATCCATTGGGCAGCGGTGAACGGGTGGGGGAGTGGGAGGGGAGCGAGGGGTGAGAAAGGGGAGAGAGCCAGGAGGAAAGAAGAAAGGAGACCGAGGGACAGGAGGTAGCTGTCAGGATAATTTGTGCCTGCCCTCAACGGACCCTGACGCAGCACTTCCCTGCAAGCGGCTGTGTGAGTGTGTGTGTGTGGGGGGGGGGGGTTCAAACACTCCAAATAGAGATCTAGCTTTCAGAGTCAGAGCAGTGCAGCAAACAGAAAGAATGTGAGCAATCAGGCACCAATTAACAGTTCAAGAGGCTTTTCGTTCTCGCTCTCGCATTTAAGTTTCATATGAGAGTAAAACTCCAAACCTATGAGCTCGCGTGATGTTCACCATGAAATATTCAAAAAATCATTGGTAGAAACTAGAAAATGTTTGTAAAAGAGGAGAAAGTGTGTAAAAATACTAGCTAGCACCTAGCTAGTGTTGACCATGAGGAAAAGGGGCTCTCACCAGCAAACCATGTCTAAAAACTACCTTTCAGCCTTTAAAAGTCTTTTTATTTTTCTGAACAACTAAAGGTCACGTTGGGTTTGCGTTCTTCTGACTACTAATTATTATGAAAGTTATAATTACTGAGCAGTTAACATCTGACTTACGACAGGCCACGTCTAAATGTTGCATCTATAAATAATCTTCGCAACTTTTTTGAAAAGTGCAGTAAGTAAGAAGGATTTTGGAGCTGTGCTGACACAACAGCTTGCATATTTAGTGACAGAACACAGATTTCAGGATGAGTTCACCATTTTTGTATATTTCTAAAAATCAACAATCGCATGCATTTTACACCCTTTCTGAATAGCGTGGGAAATTCTAATTTTTCCAGCGATTTAACAAGTTTTGGGGTTAAAAAAAGATGCAGAAAAAGAGGCCAGAGAGACAACAATTCCTCTTTCTGCACACTGCACAGTCACGTGGTTTGTTAACACTATGAATCACTCTCACGCTCTACAATTGCAGCACATTTGTAACCTAATCCCAACTCTTGTAGCATCCTGATGCAGAACCATGTTGTCGGTCATGTGGTGGTTTTGCTGCTTTATATGATATATCCTAATAAAAACGTTAATACATTTTACTTACACTAATAATAATGTTAACTTAAGAGCTCTCAGAATGTAAAAATTATTTGATGCTTTGTGGATAAAAGATTCCTTCATAGCTACAAAAGTTTGCTGTGTGTCTTGCTGAATCACAACAGTGCAGTTTTGTGAACGTTGTGCTTGATGTTGACAGATGCTCGTGAAACAACACAGTAGATTTTTTCTTCATTATTCTTTTAATGACAGAAAAATACTGAAGGGAAACCATGTGGCTATTCATAACATAGTCCTTGTTTGCAAACATAGTTGGCCTCTTTGTCCCAAAATAATGAATTAATGTTTTTTTTGTCCTCCAATGAAAGATTGGAAAGCAGCCTCCACTTTTTCAAAGCTGAGAAAAACACAAAAGTGCTAAAGGTCCTCATAAATATAGAAAAACAAGTGCCGTCCCAAGAACAGATGTAGAAAGAGTGGTGTGTGTGTGTGTGTGTGTGTGTGTGTGTGTGTGTGTGTGTGTGTGTGTGTGTGTGTGTGTGTGTGTGTGTGTGTGTGTGCGTGCGTGCGTGCGTGCGTGCACACCAGGCCTCCACAATGAGGCTCAAAAATTGGTCCCAACCCGGAAGTACCAAAAATTGCAGTTCCACCCTCATCCACTAGGGGCTGGTGTCACAAGCGAGCAAATCCTCATTGACTCCCATGTTAAAAATAACAATTTCACAGCAGAAATAAACATGTTTACAGCCTGGTTCCAAAACATGTTTTTGGTTTAAATGATCTAGTTTACACTCATGACAACTCTGAGTAACTCTGTGAGTGTGTTAAAAGCCTAAAATTCGGTATAATTAATGAGCATCAGACCCACGTGACCACAGAGCTAGCTCCGTGGAAAGGCCTCAGTAGAGCCTCGGTCTGGCCTGGAAACTGCTCCGGGATTTTGAGTCTCTGTGTGTGTGTGTATTCTTTTTTGGATATTTTTTGTGCAATTGTTGGACAAAATGACTTGCTGTGGCATTAATTGCACTAATAGAGCGTCCAAGGAGTCTCCACTTCTTTTTTTTCGGTAAGTAAAATTATATTTATATATTTTAGGTCACTGCCGAGCTGAGCTTAGATTTTAACATGTACTGTTTAACCATGAAATTTAAATGTAATAGTGTAAAACCCAGTGCATTTAACATAATGCTGCACTTTAGAAAATGGGTTGAAATATAACATGTTGGTGGAGCTGGGTTCCAACTATCGGTTTGTGGAGCTCTCGGGAGACCTCTGTTTTCCACCCAGTTCTCCCCTCCCCGCAGCTCGGCGCATCTCTGTCTGATCACGGCTTCTGACTGCTGCGCGGGCTGCCGACTTGTGGAGCACTCGGAGACCTCTGTGTTCCACCCGGTTTTACCCAGCGGTCAGCCTGGCGTATCTCTGACTCAGAAGCTCTGGTGTTGTGCACAGTTAACTCCGGTTGTAGCTAGGTTGCTACCTCCGTTAGCTTAGCTCCCACCTCAGCGTTAGCTTTGGGTTAGCTTCAGGTTAGCTTGTAGCTAGTTCGACCGGGTGTCGTCAGTTGATCCCAGCCTTACAGCCCCACCCTCAGCTCCTCCTCTCTTCCCTTTTGTGGAATTTGTGGAAACACACACCCACACACACACCCACACCCACACACACCCACACCCACACACACACACACACACACACACACACACACACACACACACACACACACACACACACACACACACACACACACACACACACACACACACACAAACTTGGGAGCCAGGAGCTTGGAAACCCCAATAGCTCCTCACAATTGGGAAACAACGCTATCTGTCTGCTGCCACAAGCTTGATGTCTTTTCAAAAAGGAGTTGGTGGTACACACAGCATAAAAAAACACGTTAACTGCAGAACATTACGTGCATGAGCTGTGTAAATAAATCAGAACCTGTTGTTTCCCCTTACTGCCAGTACCTCCCCCCGCTAGAGAAGCTGCTGGACTTCAAATGGAGGTAAGGGAGCCAAAGACGTAGATGAGTGGAGGACAGGGGAGAGAAAGGCAGCAGCGAGAGGAAAATGCAAACGGAAAAAAGGAAACAAGAATCCCATCTGCACACTGGATGTGGGGTGTAACTGAAGAAATGACAACGGCTGCGAGACAAATAGAGCAATGTGTTTTTCATTTCTGCAAAGCAAAGCAAAATGAAACACAGCAGCCCTTTTCCCCACTTCTCAGCCTTTTAACTAACCGGCAGCCAGTAAAATATTGATGCTTTGATTCAAAGAAAGAAATGTCTGAATGGTTTTGTTCATCTGAGTTTGAAGGATTAAATGATCTATAATGGATGTGTCTGAAATGTTAATAAGCTGATGGGAAAGCATTGAGGTTAAAGGTGTAAGTGTGTGTTTGTTTCCCTTCCTGCCGAGATCACTCTGTCTGTCCTGTCCGGGTGCATCACTCACCTACTTTCCAGCAGCCACAGAGACTAGAACTGGTCACCAGAACATTTTTGGCTCTTAAAAAAAAAAAACTCACAAGTCATGAAGCATGACATGACAACTTGTGAGTCTTACTCACTCGTGAGTTCTGTTCTACAATCCCAATCAGCGATGCGTCTTTGTTTGCCTTTTCATCAGCCTCACTGTGTAACCAAAGCCAAGCAGCACAGAAACAATGATCAACAGTAAACCCTCTAATCTCTTTTTAAGACATTCGAAGTGTGAAAAACCATAGCTGGAAGTGTAAAAGTGTTGTAATTAGACTTTGATAATTAGAGGCCGGGGACCAAGGGAGGTCCCACCGTGATTATTATGGCAGAGCGAAAGCCAGAGAAACAGAAGGAGAGTGGGAAGAAGTTCGCCAAATGCACCCAGCAACCCTTCCTCAGAAATGGGAGCAATTTAAAGCTCCAGGCAGGAAAAAACACAAACAAAAATCCCGCACTCACCTGCAGTCCAATTTCTCTATTTCAAAATGTGGGTTGAAGTTTAGGATGATGCGTTGCGACGGCTCCGGGGCTGTGATGACCCAGCGGCAGCTCTGGTGGGGCGGATACTCCAGCGGGTAGCCGGGTGTGGTGATGTAGCCGGCGTCACTCGCGTCCAGAAGGCCTCCACATTGTTCGGAAGCTGGACGAAGGAAGAAAGAGTGGTGAAAATTTGGAAAATAGTCACTCATATCATCTTTTAACTGTTTTATACACTTTTATCATAAAAAGGAGTTCTATAGCGATAACATTGTCAGCTTAAGTTCTCTTACAGGCATCTCAGAAATAAAGCAAAAAGAAATACAATAAAAGAGAAATAATAAAGAAATTAATCATTGCCACAAAAGAAAAACGACTTTGTTTCTTCGCCGCAACAGATCATCAAAGCCGGTGAAGTTTGCTAATAGAGAACAAACACCAGAATGTGTGTACTCTCACAAATCTACTCAAAAGACAGAGTGGTTAGGATCCTAATCTGTAAATAAAACAAATACTGAAAAACTGGATCCAGAGAAGAGTTGTGTGCAGCGACAGGATGTGTGTTTGTGCGTGTGGTGTTGAAAAGCTGTTGAAGTGACTTAATGCACAAAGACACCATTGTGAGTTAGAACCTCACACACACACACACACACACACACACACACACACACACACACACACACACATTTACTGTCACAGAGCAGATCCACTTGTCAGCAGTCATATGTCTATCTCATGGCACACACAATGCCACATATTCTCTTCTGCAGATGCAAACTGACAAAGATGGGTAACACATCTGTGACACTGAGCAGAAAAACACACAACACTACTGTCTGCCATCTGTAGAGTCTATTGTGCAGAACGGCTGACCGCTGGATTTGATTGACTGTGCCTGATCTCAATGTAAGTTAGGTCCTTAAACCATTATAGTGGACTACATGGGTTACGTGTCTCAGATTTAATAGAAAATGTAAGTCCCAAGGCATTGAGTTCAAAGAGTATAAATAAGAACATCATAATTTATTTAGGATAACATCCAGGAGATCATATTCTTGAGTCAGAAAAGGGTAGAACGCCTTCTCGAGGTCAGGGATGAGGTCCCGCCTCAAGTGGAGGAGTTTAGGTATCTCGGGGTCTTGTTCACGAGTGAAGGAAAGATGGATTGGGAGATGGACAGGCAGATTGGTGCTGCGTCTGCAGTGATGCATGTGTTGTACCAGTCTGTCATGGTGAAGAGAGAGCTGAGCCGGATGGCAAACATCTCGATTTATCGGTTGATCTACGTTCCTACCCTCACCTACGGTCACAAGCTTTGGCTAGTGACTGGAAGAATTAAATTACGGATACAAGCGGCCAAAAAGAGTTTTCTCCGCAGGTTGTTTGGACTCTCCCTTAGAGATAGGGTGACTAGCTTGGTCATTCAGGAGGGGCTTGGAGTAGATGCGCTGCTCCTCCACATCGAGAGGAGCCAGTTGAGGTGGCTCAGGCATCTGATTAGGATGCCTCCTGGACGCCTCCCTGGTGAGGTTTTTCAGGCACATCCAACCAGGAGGAGACCTAAAGCAAGACCCAGGACACGCTGGGGGGGACTGCGTCTCTCGGCCAGGTTGGCTGAAATTGGATGGACGGAACCTTCGTGTGTGAAGTTAGTGCTGTAACAGGAACACATGCTTTCATGGACCTTTGAAAAAAACAACTACAAGGACCGAAATGATCAATTTATTTTAAAAAAAGAAAGAAAAGCAGATGGATTTTCATGAAATACCAAACAAGAACCAGGATGAGCTAGGTTATTCAAATGAAAACAGCATCTGTGAACATTGGCTGCTTGGTGTGGAAACACTTGGCTGGCTTGCAGCCCCTGAAACAATTTCCTGTTTTTGTGAGAAAAGGGGAACAACTCACAATCAAACTCCTGATGGTGTGTATTATTCTTCCAGTCATGGCTAAAAATGCATCAGAAGCCTCGGGGGAGGAGGAAAAAAAGCGGAAAATGTGTGTGAAGTTGTTGTATAACTTGTAGGTCTGAGCCACCATCGGGCCTTCTGTGCTGTGACGTTTTATTTATTGCCATTGCGCTGTGAGGGCTGAGAGAGTCAGGTCAAACTACTCAGCAGAATACAGCGTGTTTTAAAGCTATTAATAGACGAGCCACTGTAAACCAACTCTGAGGAGTAAGACGTGCTCACACAAGGCACAGAATAAACACTCTACCCGACCTGCAAAACCAAAATACTCGATGAAAGATGGGCAAAACACGCCTGATGCAAACCAGATCTGTACAAGTGAGATGATCTCACAGATTCTTTAACCACACACCATGTTTTGTCCATCATTCGGTCTGTTCTGTCCCAGAGAAACAGAGTACCGGTATACTGCAATTCAATTTTTACCCCCAACAAATTGACCTGATCCAACAAATAATACAACTCAAAACTGAAGAAACCTTATCTTCACTAAGCATGTTGTTTTTACACATCCATGCCTGCTTATTTGGCCAAAAACACTTTTAGGAAAGTAAAAGAGCTAAAACTCAGGTCTTGATGCCAACCCAGTTTGGACCCATCACTCTAAATTGTTCTAGGTTCTTTAACTCCGACTACTCAGTGTTCTCTCAAAGCATGTTGGGATTAAGAACATGGTACGGTTTAGAAGTACAGTGTCTGGGCTAGAGTTTGAGAAGTTGAGAACTTGATATTTATGCTTCATAGGTTGATAATCCCACAGATACCTTTCCTTTAAAGTAACACTAAACGGTTTTGAAACTTTCAGCTGGAGTTGTATTGATCTCAGTGATTGTTGAGTTAGAAGCTTGACCAGTTTAATATTTGACACCACTCTGCCCCCGGCTATCCAGAAACCGCACTTAACAGTTTTAGTGGAGCGGGTAGGTGCCCTATAGGGGAAGCCCTTTACTTGTTTTACAGCTGTTACCTGCTATGCTAACAGTTAGCTTTATCAGTATGCCAATTATCAATAAAAAGCACAAGAAGAAGAAAACGCTTGCTTTTGCAGCTGTCATCATAGCGGAGCCTGGAAGTAAATGAGTGATGTCTTCGAAGACGAAGCAAAGAGCTAAAACTAGAGTGAACATCAACGCGGCCTACAGTAGTTTGAGGGAGCTAAAGGAGGCTAAAAAATCGAAATGATGACCTGGCTTTGTTGCTACTGGACTTGTAAGTATTATTATTTTTGGCCCAACAGTGTGCCTCTTTTTACTTTGTGGTTTATTTTAGTATTTAGTATTAGTATTTTTAGTTGGCTCATGTTAGTGTTAGCTCGTTGTTAGCGCTAGCAGGCTGCAGCAGGGTTGTTTAACGCTAGTTGTAATTCCTCTTTCAACCAGCGGAGGAGCAGGAAACTACTTACGACTAATGTACACTGGAAGCAAAAGCGGCACGGAACGGCAGCAGAAAGGTTTACTCGCGGCGATCACAGCACTCAAGTGCACACCTGGAGAGTCTCAGCAGCGAAGCAGCGGCTTCTCTGTCGTGCTCCTCACTCCACTCGCGAGATCACACAACCCCTCAAGAGTTCAAAGGTTATGGTTTGTTTATGCAATCTGCCATTTAACCAGAAAGAAGGAAATCATATCGCCATTTGATGTCACATGACGTTGTTCCTCTTCACCACCAGGATTAAAGCCATGAAAAACACACGGCTGCACTTCTGGAACGATGCTGTGAGTAAATAAGCCGTTAGATCACATGTAAGCTTCAGATATATGAAATTGTATCGCTGCAATACTTTTGTTTTGAAAATTACCAGGGATTTTACACTGAAACTGTGTGTAATTTCCTGTCCAGCCCCATGTTAACTGTGGTAATTGATGCATCCCATGAATGGCTCGTGGAAAAAATAGAACCCGATCCCATCTTTAGCGGCTTTGTGCGGCGTGCAGCTTCTGGGGCGCGTCTGAAAATTGCCGCGTCGCGGCTGGTTTGTTACACTCCGTAGACTATAATGGATTGTATTTGAAACGGTGCCGTTCCGCGCCGCTGATGCTTCCAGTGTACAGTAGGCGTGAGTGGTACTTTGACAGACTCATCATCCCACAGTTATCCTGTGTGTTGCATCAGAAATGGAGTCCTGCATTTGTTTGGTTATTATTTTAATGAAATGTTTATGCTTTCGGCTTTCCTACACAATCAGATGACTTATGGATTAAGTGAAAGTCCAGCTCAGCACAATCCCCATCAGGACTTTCCTCTGTTTATCCATTTATTAACATTTTGGCTCCTTCCATCCTCCTCTCACCTTTGGCACATCGCCCACAAAGACGGCCCCCTTCCAAGTGCCTGATGAATGCAGCTGGCTGCGATAGTGAGGCGGGCCCTGTGTGTGCTCGCTGCATTGTGTCTGCTTCACTCTAAGCCTCTATCAGTCTCAGGACGAACGCACAAAAGTCATTCAACAATTATCGCATTCGAACAGGGGCAGCAAGTGACACAAATTGAGCGCACGAGTGCTAAGGCTGACGTCATCATGCATTAGGCACCATTTAGAGAGGATCTGATGTTGTTTGCTCGTCTGCTCTGAGGACATACACATTTAGACATAAAATGTGAGGTCCCTGCAGCGACGGGTGAGCATATACAGAAGTGGGAGTTAGGAGAAGATGAAGAAAAGGGGAAGCTTGTAAGCACAGCTTCTAAATAAAATCAATTACAATGCTAATTTGTATTCTACGCTAAAGTGCTCTAATCTTCATGTTGTGAAGTTTTGGCGTGCGTCAGAAGAGAGAAAATGCTGAGCGGGGGAAAAAAACTTGAGTTCATTCCAGGAATGTTCAAACAACTAAAAAGAATCCACCCTTTAGTTTTAAACTTTCCTACACGAGGCTGCGTTGAACGACACATGGCCGTCCATCCAAAGCACCACATCAAAACACAACTTTATTCTTCATCCCGGCTTCCGCACATAAACACTTCCCTTCTGTTGACCCTCATTTTCACACAAGGCCGTTTTCTCTTTTCCCCGAAAAACCACAGGAGCATGTGGAGATCATCAGGGGGCGGTTGTATTTAGACCACATATTCACAACAAATGTGCAAACACAAACCGCTGAACATCGCTTATCCCCGTCTGGCTTGAATATCACTGAATCAGGACCACACACACACAAATATACACAAACACACACACACACGATAAGTGGTG